AGGAATATAACAACACAACCGACTTAAATGGATTTACTTTTTGAATGAAACATGTATGAGTACGAAGTAATTTGAAAATTTGTATGATACAGGACGTGACAAAGATATTTTCATATGTCACGTATTTTCATTTGAAATGATTTGTTTATGAAAATAACAATTAGGGAGATAACCGTTATACTGTTACCGAGATATGAAACCTGCAATACATTTGGAAACCAACAGAGAAAGTTTGGAGAAGAAATTAATAAATATTGACATCATGTCTAAAACTAAGTCTTCTCAGAGGATTCACTTACGTGATCTGTTTTCCGAACTAGCTTACATACATATCATCAGACCACGGGGCCTTAAAACATCTTATGTAGAAGACTTTTAAAATCATCAGCTACACAAAGCGCAAAAAGTATCATCGAACTAGGACTTTATCTTTATTCCAAGGACAATATTCTCCAATACCTTTTCATTACTTAAAAACACAATGTCCAATTTTAATCCTTTAACAGATTAATTAGGAAATACCTCTGTATTTTACAAAGGTAGATAAAGTGTGTAGAGGATGGGTGAACAACAGAATAGACTTCCCTCTGTGAGATAGGGTTACAGTAATGGCTTTGGCTGGCTCTTAGATTGTGCCAAGGTTAAATGTTTGGTCGGCCATTTCAAGAGATAGACTGACACATTTGCCAATGTTAAATCGTCCTTTATTGTCTGTTGAGAGAATAAGTTTAAATTGTTTTAAAACTCATGCTGAGTTACAACGACAGAGTTCATTTATTTCAAACGCAATTTTGTTATAGAAGAGGTTGAACAGAATTCACGATTCACAAAAGTTGTAAACGCATTTTTTTGGTTAGCGCAGTTAAACTCACTTTACAATTTCACTTCCCTTTGCACAATAGCTCGTCTGAAATAATCTGATGGATCTATGAATCGAATCTGAAACCTCAAGTTTCGCTATCACTGGCAACTCAACCAAACGGTACTGCCAAAAAACAAATCATCCAAAAACCATACAAACTTTGGAAATATTTGGTGACAAATAAAGCGATCTATCGGAGTGGCCACCATTCACGAAGTATAAAACTGAACGGATTATTTACGATATTTATATACGAAAGTCTAGAAGCGTATGTTTGGTTTGGATGCGTCGATATTTGACTACGTCACTGGAATAAGCCGTAACAAACATAAATACAGCCCTCATGCGCGACACGAGGTCCGCACGTGGCACGTGCCTATCATCATATAATTTCATAACAATTTTGTGAAAACTTATGATTCATTGCTGTTTGGTAACTGTGAAGTTTAATACAATTGTCGCCACCCGTACTCTTCCATCGTAAGCGTCGACATACGTCATTCAGGCTACATATTTGACATGGATCAAGGAGCAACGCTCTCTAATTATTTTTTAAAATTTTGAGCTGCGTTCTCCAAATCCAAAACAAGCGTGAATCAAATGGAAAACGCTCTTATGTGGCCTTAATTCTCCTTCTTTTTCTTTTGAAAAGAAGAACCTCGAAACCAGTATGACCTCGTTAACTTCAAAATACTAAGTAACACAGTAAGCTCAAAGCTCTTCGTCTAAAATTCTACTACTTCACACAGACCTTAACAAAAATTAATCCATGCTATAATTTGCAAGCTGTCACACACAATACGAACAAGTAATTCAAATTTTGTAATACAGGCAATGGGCAGGAAAATTGGCTAGCATTTGGCGTTTGGCCCGTGTGATAGTACAAAACCTTTATGCAGAAACCTCAATAGCTTACATATGTGCTCTATTATTAGTATTTTGAGCCATATCTCGATTTATATTGACGCAACATTGTATGCTTGCCGAATATGATCCATGTTGAGACTTCCACGATTCCAGTGCCGTGTCAAATCGTTAATGTTACATTGTAACAAAAATGGGAAAACGGTAAAATTCCATTAAACACTTTCGGTAACTAATATAACATAACAATGTGTTACAATCACTGGTTATGGCTTGCTGTATCGGCGAAGGAAATTCGTCACAGCATTGAGTTACACGTGGAAACGAAACTGCGATAAATTGTGGTTTATAGTGGTTTGTAAACGCACGCGTGTCGATGAGAGTTAATGTAATACTTTGGTAACTTCTAGAATATTCTAAGTTTGACACACCTTTACTATAGAAAAAGATTTCATATATTCGAAGTCTAAGTAAATGTACAGAGTATTTTTATCACCCTGTTTTCACCCTCTCGGCAGGGATATTGTCAGAATTTTTTTCTTATTAGCTCCCCTCCCCCTAATTCTACCAGTGTTTAAAGTCGTACTTTGTTTGATCAGTCAATAAACCTAATTTAGATGATGAATAAATAAATATAGAAGATGTGAAACCTGTATGCTTTTTATACCCATTCTAGTAACAGAGTTGCGGAGAACCTAACAGGGTACCGGGGCTCCGGCTCGAATCGCAGGAGAAGGAACGGGGTGGTATTTAGTCAGTAAGAGTCTGACACTCCCTCCCGCCTCATCCAGGCGAGAGCAGTCATTCGATGATTTTCCCCTCTTAAAAAAAGTTATAGTAACAGGGTTTGGTACATATTCGTACACATAATTATAAGAAATATTTTCAATCTCTGAGTCATTTTCAAAATACAAATACCTAACTTAAATGAAACATCGTACCGTTAACAATCATCGCTCCAGCTACAGCTGGAGAGAAATTATTCAGACAAGAATCCTACACGAAAACTTACAACATTAACAGCTGTTCACAAAGTTATTTCAGTACACTTCTGAACTGTCAAAAACAAATCTTCAGGCCTGAAAGGGCTTTAAACTGGGTACGTCTAAGTTCATACCCCAAGCCCTGTGCATGACAACACCGAAATGTCAGAAGATCAGTAGTTAATAGAAAATAATAAGCATAAATACCTACATATCACACTGATGGTTTACTATAACTATTGTGAGACATACTATCGTGACACACACGTGAAAATACTGAGAGTTTCAAACCACAGAGGTGAGGACCGACACCAGCGCCAACGCTAGCCAGTAGGCTGCGCAACATCGCCGCGACCGCGCACGCTGCTCATGAGAAACCCCTCTGTGGTTCGAAACTAGTAGACCTTTTCTTTTACGTGAGTAACCCGCGATTTTTTCAAATTATAAGTTTAAAATGAAAAAATCAATCGTAATTATAATTAATTAAGTAAGGATGTTGTATAAAATATTAAATCTAAATAAAAAATAGGTTTTCTTTTGATTATTTATTTTCGATGTGCGGCTCTTTGGATCTGAATGACAACTTATTACCTTTTCTTATAAATTAGGGAAAATGTAGGTGTATTCTAACCACACGTTTAACAACCCTTTGGAGTGAAAACTGGCGTCGAATAAACAGGGTTCAAATAAATAAACTTTTTTGTCTGGTTTAATCGGAACGCTTCCGAAAAAGCAGGCAATTCTTTTATAGTTTTTACTATTTTAACCGTTTTTGTCTTCGTGGTATTCATGCAATATTAGCGTTGAGCGGTCAATTACAACTAAATAAAATAAAATAAAAAAATAAAATAAAATAGCCTTTATTGCTGTTTCTTATCAACTATTACATATTTTCTTTAACATGCGCCTACTTTATAACATACAAATTTTTATTACTTGCTTTTTAACTATCGGCAACTAGGTGTTTTTGTGGAACAGCTTGTCTGTCGACAAAGGCCTCCTCTAAAGATTTCCATGTATCCCTGTCTCTAGCTAAACGGGTCCATACTGGGCCAGCTATTTTCCTGATATCATCTTCCCATCTTTTCGTTTGTCTACCTCTTCTTCTTTTACTGTCCCTTGGATACCATTCTGTCACTAGCTTAGTCCATTTGTCTCTATTTTCCCTTAGCATATGTCCCGTCCAACGCCACTTAAGCTGTCTGTAGACCGTGTGTACATTTTTAAATTTAGTTTTCTTTTTAATTTCTTGCAGTTTTATTCTGTCTCTTCTTTTTATACCTAATATGCTCCTTTCTATTGTATTTTGACAAACTTTTAATTTTTGTTCTAGTAGTTCAGTTAATGCCCATGTTTGGCACCCGTATAGTAAACATGGCATAATGCATATTTCATACACTTTCTTTTTTGCCGACATTGGCATATCTTTATTTTTCATTATTTCTTTAAGTGACCAAAACCGTTTCCAGGTATTCGTTATTCTTCGTTCTATTTCTTTTTTCATGCAATCCTCTGTAGATATCAGTTGGCCCAAATATATATATTCCTTTACATACTCTATTTCTTCGTTATTTACTGTTATTTGTTCGTGGTATACTGTTTCCTGAGCGTTCGTCATAATTTTAGTTTTTGTTAAGTTCATTGTCAAGCCGGCCTTGGCGCTTTCATCAGATAGTTGTTGCAACATTAGTCCCAGCGTTCTAGCGTCCTCGGAGAACACAACCAAATCATCGGCGAAGCGTAGATGGTTGAGATTTTCGCCATTTATATTGAGACCCTTTTTGGTCCAATTTAGGTTTCTAAAGATCATCTCTAATACTGCCGAAAATAATTTAGGTGATATAGGATCGCCTTGGCGCACACCTCTTTTAATAGGGAACTCGTCTCCCGTAGATTCAAGTTTAACTTGTGCAGTGCTTGCTGTATAAACGTTTTTAATTATTCTTATATATTTTGCTTGAACTCCTTGCCTCTGTAGAGCGTCCCATATATACTCGTGTTCAAATGTATCGAATGCTTTATTAAAGTCAACAAATCCAATGTAATACGTTTTATTATACTCTCCATATTTCTGTATTATCTGTCTTAGAGTGTGTATGTGATCTATAGTTGAAAACTTACTACGGAAACCAGCTTGTTCCTTAGGTTGGTTTTCGTCTAATATATAAGTGATTCTTTGTAGAATGATTTTAGAAAATATTTTATAAATATTGGACATTAAACTGATCGGTCTGTAGTTTGCTATATCATTCTTGTCTCCTTTCTTATGCAGCAGTATGATTGTCGATTTCATTGAACAGATCTGTCAGTCTTGGTGCTATCACTGGTGACGTTGTTTTCAATAATTCATTTGTGACTAAATCTGATCCAGGTGCTTTATCTAGTTTTTGTGTTTCAATCGATTTTATTGTTTCCTCTGTTAGTATTGTCTTTATCTCGTCTGTATCTGCTGAATTGTATTTTTTTATTACTTGATCACCTTTACGACTTTGGTATAAATTTTTGTAGTATTCTGTAGCAATTTCTAGTATTTCTGGCCTTTTGCTCGTCTTTTCCCTGTTTTTATTTTTCATATTTGGAATCCAGTCCTTTTTGTAACTCCTTTCTTTTAGCGCCTTCTTTATTCCCCCTGTTTTATTTATATGCTTCTTTAGTGTTTCAAACCTTCTTGCTTTCCGTTCTTTTCTAAGTTGTTCGCTAATCCGTTTGCTTAATTCTGCTATCTTTTGGATGTTATTAATTTTGCTATGTTTTCCTTGTTGTATAAGTTTTTTCCGTTCTTGTAATAATTGCTTACTTTTAAATGTTATCGCTGTCGTACTAGTCATGTTTACTTTTTTAGTTTCTAATTTCAGTTGTTTGAGCAAATGGGTGTATTTTTCTTGGGTCGACATACATTGTTTTTCCTTTCCTTGTAAGGATGTCCCGAGGTTATTTATAAGTAAATCGGTGTTACCGGTGCATTCGATGGCTTTCATACTGTTGTGAAATTGTCTTGGTCTTTTAACACGTGTCCCTGAGAGTTTTGCTCGAACCATTCGATGATCTGTGTTAAAATTTAAATTGCTTAAAATAGACAGGTCTTCAAATACTTTTAAGCTGTTGGACATAATATAGTCGATCTCGTTTTTATACCGACCATTGGGAGATATCCATGTCCATTTTCTTGATATTTTCTTTTTATAATAACTGTTTACGATACTTAATTTGTTTTCAATAGCAAATGATACCAATCGTGAGCCGTTTTTACTTCTATTGCCCCATCCGTGATTTCCTATGGTATATTCTTCTCCACTTTTTTGTTTACCGATTTGTCCATTAAAGTCTCCCATAACTATTAGGTTTTTTGAAGCATTTGTAGTAGCGGATTGTAGGTCTTCATAGAATTTTTCGATTTTTGTTATATCTTCTCTTCTATTTGATTCAGTGGGCGAATACGCCTGGACTATGGTCCATATTTGTTCTTCTTCTCCAGCTACAGGAAGTTGAATGTCGAGGAATGCAATCCGTTCTGAAATCCCTCTTAATTCCTGTATGTTCTTGGCGAGGTTTCTTTTGATCATGAAACCGACTCCGTATAACCCGGGCGTCTCCCCAATATGGTATAGAATGTATTGTCCACGATCTTCAATTCTTTCCCCTAATCTTCTCACTTCGCTAAGACCTACTATGTCCCATTTTATTTCATCCAATGCCAATTGTAATTCCTGTAGTTTTTCACTAGTTCCCAATGATCGACAGTTTAAAGTTGCGATATATAGAGCATTATGTTTCTTTTTCCAGTTGCTTTTTATCTTAAGAGGGTCGTGGTCATTTTCCCCCACGAGGACCAGTCGGCTTGGGGGAGGTTGGTAGTTTCTAGTTTGATTTGGTTATCTATAATTTTATGTTGTATTGTTTCCCGGTTGCCGTTAGCTAATTGTTATTGCCTATTATCCGCCTTGGGGGACGAGAGTGAGAGAGAGTTGGATCTACCTCTTATGACATCAAAGGCGTTGCGCCTATTTGTATGTGATGGTGTCCACACTTGCTGTTTTTTAGTTTGTGTGTTATCTTGGGGTGAAGACGATTTTTCTCTTTTTCTTTTTTCGTTATTTGTATTATTTTCTTTTACTACAAGCTTGTCGTAGCTGAGATATGCGAAATTCCCTTTCATCCTTTCCTCTTTCAATCTATTTTGTAAAATCTTTCTCCTCTCTAATACTTCTTTAGAATAATCTTCTGTAATATATATATCTTTCAGATTTTTCCGAACTTTCATGATCTCATTTTTCTTCCATGAATTGACAAAGGAAAGCAAAACAGGTCTTTTTTTTTTTTTTTTTTTTTTTTTTTTGGGGGAAGATCATCGAATGACTGCCCCCGCCTGGGTGAGGAGGGAGTGACAGACTCTTACTGACTAAAAACCACCCCGTTCCTTCTCCTGCACGTCGAGCCGGAGCCCCGGTTACCCGTTAGGTTCTCCGCGACTCCGAATCGGCATCGGCCCTACTGGGCCCCATCTGTGGTGGTCTGATGGCTCTTTGAGGCGCGCGCGGAACGCGACGCGCCGTACGCTCGGGTCTGTTTCTGGTCGGACGGGGAGCCACCCATGCTCGCCGTCCGCAGGCCCGCGCTTACGGTGGCCGGAGATCGTCCCGCGATCCCCGACGCCCGGTGTGTCCTTCGCGATGGCTGGGTTGCGAGGAGGCAGCGCTTCGCTGCCTCACGCGTCCCGCCTCCTCCTTAGCTAGCATGACTGCTTCGCAAAAGGAGGAGACGGCATCCCAATCCCCCTCGCTCCGCATCATGGCCTGCACTAGGCCCGGACGCGAGAGGTCGCCATCGCCGATCACTTCCCTGAGGACACGGCGGTGCTCAGCCCACGAAGGGCATTCTCCCACCGTGTGTTCCACCGTGTCCTCAGGGCGGTCCTCGCAGTGATGACACCCGGGCGTTTCCTCCCGCCCCATCAGACACAGGTACCTCCCGAAACTTCCATGTCCGGTGAGGACCTGCGTCAGGCGGTAGGTGAGGACGCCGTAGCGTCTCTCAAGCCACTCCTCAAAGAGGGGACTTACCGCTGCGATGGCAGCGAGCCCAGCCCTCGGTTGCGACAGTCGTTGCTGCCATTCCGCCATGAGATCGCGCCGGAGCTCATCCCGCCACGCACCTATCTGGCGCGGCAGCGGGGTTTCGCCCCGGCGACGTGCCTCCGCGCGCATGCTGTACACGCGCGCGAGCACCTTCGCCTCCAGATCCCACGGCGGTAATCCGGCAAGGAGGTTCGCCGACTCCCCAGAGATCGTGCGGTATCCGCGGATCATTCGGATCGCCATGACCCTCTGTGCCATGAGCAGCGTCCGAGCGGGACGCCGCAACAGGTTTGGCGCCCAAACAGGGGCGCCGTAGAGGGCCATGGACCGCACGACCCCGGCGTATAACCTCCGGCAGGAGGCGTTTGGCCCCCCGAGGTTGGGGAGGATGCGTTTAAACGCAGCCCCCGTCCTCTCCAACTTTGGAGCCAAACGTCGGAAGTGTTCAATGAAGTTCCACCGACTGTCGAGGACGAGTCCTAGGTACTTCATCGTCGTCTCGACGCCGATGGTAACTCCTCCCGCCGTTATTTGGGACCCACCCGGAGGTGGCGCGTTCCCGCGGCCATGAAAACACATGGCCTCGGACTTGTGGAGCGCCACCTCGAGTCCCAACTGCCGGATTCTCTCAACGACTGTCGCAACCGCTGTCGCCATTAAGTCGGCCGCCGCCTGGTGTGACCTCCCGTGCGCTAGCACCAGCGTATCGTCGGCGTAGCATATTGTGCTAACGCCGTTCGGGAGGTCGGTGCGCAGCACCCAGTCATAACCGATGTTCCACAGGAGCGGCCCCAGAACCGAACCCTGTGGAACACCGCGTGACATCTCTCGCCGGTTCCACTCGCCCCGGTGACCGGGGTAAATGACGGACCTGTCCGTCAGGTATGCCTCGATTACACGACGGAGGTAGGTAGGCACCCGATGATATCGGAGTGCCTCCAAGATGCAGCTCCAGGGCAGGGAGTTGAAGGCGTTGGCGATGTCCAGAGACACCGCCACTACGACCTTACCCCTGGACACTGCAGTCCCCGTCGTCCGGTCTCTAACGCGCATGATGGCGTCCACCGTGGAGCGCCCTCTGCGGAAGCCGAACTGGCCGTCCGACAGGTCCGGCCCAATGTCCGTCAGGTGCGCGACGAGGCGGTTCGAAATGATTCTTTCGAAGACTTTCCCCACCTCGTCGAGCAGCACTATGGGCCGGTATGCGGACGGAGAGTCCGCAGGGCGCCCCGTCTTCCGCACGAGGACCAGTTTGCCCGCTTTCCAGAGAAGCGGGAACTGGCCTCTCTCCAAGCATGCGCTGTAGAGACCGATTAATCGAGGCCCGAGAGCCTCTGAGGCCAGGACCCATGCTTTGCCATGCAAGCCGTCGGGTCCTGGGGCGGTGTTCTTGGCGCCCATCCGGCGCACCGCCGCTCTCAGTTCTGCCTCGGTCACCTCTGGGACGATGTCGTCGTCGTCGTCGCTGTAGCCCGCGTCGGGCACCGCAGGGGGCGGAGTCATATACGGAGGGGTGAACCCCCTCCACAGTCGGGGGAACAGGGCGCTTATCACCTCCTCCAAGACCTCTGGCCGGAGACTCTGAGTGAGCGGGGGAGCCCAGGCGCGGAGCTTATCGCGCACCATCCGGTACGGGCGTCCCCACGGATCTCTGTCCAGAGTCCCCAGCATCTCTCGGCGGGCCTCCTCCTTGGCCCGCAATATCTCCGCCTTGAGGAGGGCCTTCGCCGCCCTGTATCCCTCGTATAACTCCGCCTCTCTCGCCTCCGCATTAGGAGGACGGATACGGCGCCTGCGGTGCCTAGTGTACTGGCGTCGCGCAGTAGTGCACGCCTTGCGCAGAGCCGCCAGCTCTTGCGACCACCAGTACACCTGGCGCTTCTGTTGCCTCGATCGGATCCGGGGCATCGCCACGTCACAAATCCTGGACATGGCGTCCTGGAGCCACTTAGCCTCATCGTCGATGTCGGCAGGCCTGACCGGTGGTATCACCCAGGCCTGCACGATGGCGGCTTCCAGGAGCAGCTCCCGGTCCAGCTGTTTCAGCGCCCAACGCGGACCACATGGGGCCTGTCTGACCGGCGGGTCTGCGGACTCGGCGGAGACGTCGAACCGGATATACCGGTGGTCGGAGTACGTCTCCACCTCCTCCATGACACGCCAGTCAACGATACGCGGTGACAGAGCAGGGCTGGCGAACGAAATGTCCACCACCGACTCGCCCTGCATCCGCACGCACGTGGGGACAGAACCCCGGTTCAGGACGACTAGGCCTGTCTCAAGGGCCCAGTCTTCCACCATCCTACCCCGGACGTCGGTGAACCGGGAACCCCAAGCCAAGTTTTTGGCATTGAAGTCCCCGAGGACGAGCACGGGGAGGGAACGGAACCCGACGACGACGGTGACCAACTCCCTCAAGGAGTTGTGGAACTCGGCGAGAGTTCGGTTCGGAGAGAAGTACACGCCCACCACAGCGAGCTCTCCGAACCGTGCTGCGACACAACCCCGGCCTCTTTGAGCAGCCTCAAGAGTCGGGGTACCGGCGGCGGCCGACGAGATGATGGTCACCGAGCCGTCCAGGTCCGCCACCCAGTGATCCCTGGGCGGGACAAAGTACGGCTCGGAGACCACGGCGACGTTGATTGACCACTGCGCCATGCTCTGGAGCAGGAGATCCTGAGCAGCGGCGCAGTGGTTGATGTTCGCCTGGAGGAGGCGGAATGGAGCCATTATTGGCAGTCCATTCCGACCTCCTCAGTGGCGGCAGCGGCGACTGCGGTGGCAGTGGCGGCGGCGGCGGAGACGACGGGGGCGGCGGAGGGCCTACTTTTGCCCTTGGGTTTGGCGGGAGGGGAGCAGCCCTTGCTCCCGACCCGGTGATTGGCCGGCTTGCCAGCCGCCGCACATGCGTTGCAGTGCAGCGGGGCGTTGCACGAGCCGGCCTTGTGACCGGGCCGACCGCAGCGGAAGCAACAGTCGCTGCGGTCCACCTCCGAGGTGCATTTGACGCTCACGTGCTCCCCCACGTGACAGCGGTAGCACCTCAGAGGCCGGGTCTCGAGCAGCTTGACCTGCGCCGAGACCCATCCCACCAAGAGCCTTTTGCCCTCCTTCAGCTTCTTGGCCGCTGTGACGGGGCAGCTGACCACAACAGTGCGCAGCCCCGAGTTGTCCGGGCGGATGGCGCCTGCCTTGATTTGGTCAGCAGGGCACCCTCCCGTCCTGGCCACAGCGGCCACCACCTCCCTCTCCGTTACGGAGTCGTCCAGGCCCAAAATCCTGACATCCAGGCATTTGGTGGGCCTGGACACGCGGGCCTCGTCCGCACCGAGGCACGCCCTAAGCCTCTCGGCCAGGGCGTCGGCCGATGGGCCGCTGGTCGCGCCGGGGACCTCCAAAAGACGGGCTCCGGTAGCGGTCACCTTGACCGCGAACCCGTCTGGCGCCCCGAACTCCGCAGGAGATACCGCCCCCTTCAATTTGGCGAGGACGTCGCCGTAAGTGACGCCCCTATTGACCGCCTCGGGCTGCAGCGTAATCACTACAGCCGCGGTCTTAGGGGCGAGGAGCAAGGCAGCAGCGCGTTTCTCCCTGCGCTGCTGCTGCCGTCGCTGCCGCTGCGCCTTCTTGCGGCGCTTCCGGCCCTCCCTGGCGACTCTCCTCGCCTCGCCGGCGATTTGCCACCCGCCGCCGTCCTCCGCTCGCGGGGCGGGTTCCACCACCGCTGCCGCAACTCCAGCCTGCCGGGCTGGAGTGCCTCTCCTCTTTTTGCGCCCTGCGGGCGCTGGCGCCGTCGGCGCAGCTGGGGTCTGCGCCGGCGGGGGCGCCGAGGCCCTCGCTGGGGCAGCCGGTCGCGCCTTTGCCGGCGGTTGGGAGCTGCGGCTAGCCTGACCCGAGGTCGAAGGCTTGGCCGCAGCGGCCGCGTACGACCGCGGGACTGCGGGGGCGACCTGACTCGCCGCAAGTGGGGGGCGCAAGAGCCTGCCCTCCAGCACGTCGAAACGTCGCTGGAAGGCAGCCATCTCCGCCCGCAGCAGTCCGACCACGTCGGCCTCCGCCGGGGGCTGAGGGCGACTGCCGCGAGCAGCGGCGAGCTCGGCCCTGGCCGTCCGCAGCTCGGCCTCCAGAGCCGCGTTAGAGGCCGCCAAACGCGCCAGCTCTCGCCGCATCTCGGCCAGCTCAGAGCGCACGTTTCCCGCAGTGGGCACCGCACGCTGCTCCAAGGCCGCCTCCGTAATAGTGGCCGCCGCCGCCTTGAGGAGGCGGAGCCTAACCGGCTGGGATTTCCCCATCGCCAGCTTGTAGAGCTCCGCCGTAATGGCCTGTTCGAGGCCCCCGGAGCAGCTCTCGCTCTCAGAGCCGCGCTCGCCCTCCGACATCTCCACGCCGGACATCTCGGCCGCAGAGGACTCCGAACGGGCAGTGCTCGAAAGAGCCCTGCCCTCCGCAGCCAGTTGCTCGGCTGACTCCGCGCAGGCAGCTGGTGCCGGTTTCCGGCGACCGCTGCCCTTGCCGCCCCTACCCCGCGCTGCCGTGGGGACCTTGGGGGGAGGCGCCTCCCGAGCGCCGGAGGACGGGGACAAACTGTCCTCCTCCAGCCGGGGGCGTTTGAACGTCCCCGTCGCGCGGCGGCGTGAGCCTTTCGAGCTCACGCTCAGCCGCTCCGCCAATGTTGTGTCGGACTCTGAGTCCGACCCCCTTCGACTGGACTCCCGTGTGTGGGGCCTGCTGGACGAGTCCAGCGCCTCACCACGAGTCCCGGAGCCACTTGGGCTCCCTTCTCCCGCTACCGCAGGCGAGCCAAGCTCACCCGCACTCTCCTCCTCCGGTTGTGGTTTTGATTTTGATTTTAAATTCTCCATACAGTTCCCACGAGTATGGGGGAAATATTCGGTCCACCCAGGCAGTGCCCCCTGTACCTGGGTAAGTGTTAATTTGTTTCCCAACTAGAGGTTCCACTGGTCCCCTAGCTGGGGGTGCGCTCGCGACTGACACTACTCCTCAGCCATGCATACTCTCGCCGCGCACCAGAACTTAGTATTGGAGGAATTTTTTATAGAGGTTATCTTCCTCGCGGTCCGGGCGACCAAGCCAAGACCCTCGTCCCGTTCAGAGTCACAAAACATGACCGTGACCTCCTTACGGATTACGATATCGACGGCTGCAATCGGGGACAGCTTGTGTCCCGATGCTGCTCGCTGGCAGGGTGAGTGCACAACGAGCACCGCCCTTGCCTCTCCGCCACGCTCTCTGCTAATCAGAGAGACAGGCGGAGAAACGCCCCACGGAAGCGCGGGCCATGAGCACACAGCCCGCCGCCTCCAGAACCCTATCGGGTTCGCCCGCCCAGTCCAGAAGTCTGCTGCGGGCGACAGTCACTCCAATCCTATCACCCCCGCTAGGGAGACTGTCGCCCGCACCCAGGGTGCACCACGGGGAGGTCTTCTGGCACCGCACCCCAAGCAAAACAGGTCTAGGTTTTCCTCCTGGAATTTTCCTTCCGATGCGAAAAATTTTATTTATTTCGAACTCCCCAATATTTATATTTAAGTCTTTAAAGAATATGTTCTTCACCACGTTTATTAATTCTGGCGTAGATCTTTCTTCCTCTTGTAGTCCAAAGATAATAATGTTGTTTTCCTTCCTATCTCTTTTCAAATATTCTATCTCTTTCTTGAAGGTTATTATTTTTTCCTTTAAATCCTTATTTTCCGCTATAATAGGCTTTATCTTTTCCTCTATTTTCTCCATGATTGAATTAGTTATAGAATCTTTCAGTTCTACTGTCTGCTTCTGCATTTCTAGTTTCATTTTTTCAAACAATATTTCGAATTGATCTTCCATATTTTGGTTTTGCGTAAAATGAATCGCAGTGTTAGAAACTATTATTTTTTTTTCTCTCTTTTTTTTTATATTGGTAACACTGACGGAAAGAATGAATGATACCGTCGCGCCGTCAAATTGACTTGACAGTTGACTAAGCCTATTAGTGTCACAATCAATTTCTAACCTCAATTCGGTGGTCTTTGGTTTTTAAATTCGTGATTTTATTTCACATTCACGTTAATTGCACCCGAGTTAATAGTTACACAAATCCACTGCAAATTACAATTGTGTTTTTCACTATTTACTGTGTCCAACAGTTCGTAAATAATTTTTAATCACAATAACTTGGAAAGCTGTACTTCAACAATGTTTACGTTGTGAGCTCCGGAACCGGAACAATTACAACTATTATGACATAAAAGAAGCATTTAATTCCTTACTATTTTGAAAATAAAGCTCTTTTATACCATCACCTGTCTTTGTTTTTTTAAACGCTCCTTTTACGACGAGTATTTGCAAAAAAAAAACAAGTGCTATCACCGCCAAACATCAAATAACAGGTATCATTGAAATGAGGGTAACCGTCGTCACATCAACGTCACTCCTAGCAGTAATATGACAAGGAACAAATATCCATCGTTTTGCAGAAATATGACGCTCATTAATACGTCGGATATCGAAAATGATATCTGACGATAAAACTGATACTTAGTTATCCTGCTTTATGTTTTTATACTATTGGCATTACGTTTTTATAATAACTATCGTGAGACATATTAAATTAACTAAAATCGCGGGTTACTCACGTGAATATACTGAGAAAAGCTCTATTAGTTTCGAACGACAGAGGGGTTCTTCCTCATGAGCAGCGTGATCGCGCGACGATCTTCGGCCACCGTACGTGCGGGTGTGCGGACGGTGAGCAAGGGTAACTTGCCGCCCGACCAGAACCAGACCCGTGCGTACGGCACGTCGCGTTCCGCGCGCGCCTCAAAGAGCCACCAGACCTCCACAGATAGGGCCCAATAGGGCTGATACCCGATACAGAGCCGCGGAAGGCCTAATGGGTCGCCGGGGATCCGACTCGAAGAGCTAGGAACAGGGTGGTTTTTAGTCAGTATGAGTCTGACACTCCCTCTTGCCTAACCCAAGGCGGGAGAAGAAAGTGGATGATATCCCCCTCAAAAAAAAAACATGACCTACTCCGGTTCTAAATTTCATCTCAATCCCTTCAGCTGTTCGACGTGAAAGAGTCACAAATATACTCACATACATCTTTACAAACTTTCGTATTTATAACATTAGGATTCACTATTTCGTGCATCTGTACCACATAATACATTTACCTATATAAGACACTTTTTTCCGCTGAAAGGTCGAATGAATGAATGTGCTACGCCAACACACAAGAATTCAATGCACCCAAAATACTATTCCAAACTTCCCATCCTTCAAAACAAAGTTTCTCAAAGTTTCATTGCAATGAACCGCATCCAACAACGGAGTAACAACATAAATCTTAAGTATGTATAATTTTCCTTACAAAGGCTGTTCAGAGGTCAGAGTACAAGTCACAGGAACTTAGCAACAAAACAATAAGTTTGTTTATGTTTAGTACTTTGAATTTCTCCGGGACGCCGATTATATTCGTCATTCATTGTTCGTTGCCCTCGAGTTAAATTAGCAAACAATACATTTCTTAGTATGAAATTGTGGAGGTGAGCTTTTGTCGGATGAACGACAATTTGTTACTAACCATACTGACGAAATCAACATCGCCTTCTTTTTGAAGTCGCTCAAAAAGTGCACTCATCGAATCATACTCTACTAACTACTTCTCATCCACATGAAACATTAGCTATTGCCCGCACCTTAGACTGCGTAGAATATGAGTTTTAAGACATAGCCTTTTATTGTTTCAATTCTCCAAAATAAAAATGATAAAAACCTATGTTACTCCGTAGTACATTAGCTACCTGCCAGCAAAAGCCCCGTCAAAATCGGTCCAACCATTTAAGAGATTAGCCAGTACAAACAGACAGACAAAAATTATAAAAATTGTTATTTTGGTATACAGGTATCGTATGTATGTACAAGTATATATTCATATGCATGTAGTAAAAAGCGGTTAAATCATTATTACAAACAGACAGTCTAATTTTAATTATCTGTACAGATAACGGTTAATCTCTAATTTGTTCCTAGCTTAGGATGTTTTAATTTCCCCCATGGGAGATAGGCGTGAAGTTATGTATGTATGTATGTTCCTGGGTTAAAGCTACTGTATTATGAGGATAAAAACTAAAACTAGTGTAATACTAGTGTAATGTAAGTGGATTATCAGCATACGAAGGTACCCACTAGTTAAATTAAAGTACACAAATAAGTATTTTGAAGGAAGAAATTAGTGTCCAAATCTTTATAGGTTACGGACTTGTCGGTCAACTGCAAAACGAGGTAAAAAAACCTTGAATGATGAACTCTTTACTGATTTATAGTTAAAAAAAAGTTCAGTTCGTTTGTCTGACTAAAACTCGAGAACGGCTAAACAGATTTGGCTAATTTTGGTAGTAGTAGCTAGTAAGAAGTAGAAATGGGAAAACTTCAATTCGAAAATTTTAGAATCAACGAAAATTTTATATTGCATCCGAAACTAAAGTATCATAAAGTTTAATAGATACTCAAGTGTTTACCCACGGATATGAGTACTTAACAAATGTTTTATAGTTTCAACTTCATTAAAGAAACTGTCGCAGTCTAGACATGTTTTTATCTAAATTCTATCTATTATTTTACGAACTGAAATTCCATAGAAGTAAACTATTTAATAACTTTGATGAAGGTTCAAAATTAATGTCTATTTTGGCGTCCATTGTGAAATTACAAGCTTCTTCGAAATATATTTTTATTATCGGACATTTTTTTAGTATTTTTTTAGTAATTAAGATTATTATTTATTAGGCTTTAGTAAGTCATTTAGTTTCTTAGTGAAGTGATATTTCAAGTTCATCAAATGAAGTTTCAAGACGGATCTAAGTTTATTTTGGCATTTCTTCTCAAAGTCGTCGGTTAGGAAATGTCAACAACAAGATTTTTTCATTGTTTTTTAAAAAGTTGACATAAAGGTGTCATATTATATTATGTGTCAATTTATGTATTTTGCGTATTTGTAAAATACATAAATGTTAAATGTTAAATGACTGTTTCAACACAATTTTTATGTTTTCAATTTTAAATTCATATAAATAAAAGCATTAAAAAAAGTTTACTTTAACAAAACTTACAGAATATTATTTGAATCAATCAAATTATAAGTAATGAAATAAAAATCGATACCCGAGTTTAAAAAAAAAATCTCAATATTAGCACGGAGTCTGGAATTGTGCCCGGTATATGGCAATAGGATCACCCCCTATTATACGGGACTCATAACATAAATAGTGAAAAGTAGGTGTTACATTGTACAGTGGCATAATGTGCACCTCTGCCTACCCCTTCGGGGATAAAAGGCGTGATGTTACGAATTAAAAGATTAAATTCTAGATGTTGATATATTAATAACGTCAGGTAATCAACGTTCTGTTGTGTTAGGTCAGGACTGAATTAACAGACCGACATTCTCATAAAAAAGTTAAAAAATATCATTACGGTACCGTTACAACAAAATAAATAAAACATTCGTTCTTAATACATACAATTACAGATTCGAGTAAATATTTAAAATTCCTATGTAACATAATTACTTAAATATGTAAAAATTATGTCATAACATAGAAAAAGATTATATTACTCAATTAAAAACGGATGATAGGTAGGCACAATATACTTTTCTTCTCACTCTATCCACTGAAAAAATGCATAAAAATCCATTCAGTAGTTTACTAGTTTTGCGCAAACATACACACGCAATATTATAAGGATAACTTTTCTTGAAGCTAAATATAACCTCTTTTACTCTGTTACATTTCGTCCTTCCATTACCATAGTTAATGATGAAATACGGTTTAATACAGACCAACATAACCCGTATTTCAACTGAATAAGTGCTAGTTTAGCTGAATTAATTTATAGTTAGCACAATGCTGCACGGTCGCTCGCCAGTGTACACGAGAAATTCGTTAGTATGACCTAACTTGAGTCTAAGATTATACTTAAAATGTTCTTCGTGAACACTATATATCTTTTTATAACTAAATTCTTTCATAGCTGCTTTGAACACAACAATGAAAAATCCTATATCTTTTTTTTTAAAGGGGGAAAATCATCCGATGACATGTTATTATAGTCATCCAAAAAAAAAATAGTAGAAAGTCATCCTAAATTATAGTAATAACTAGCTAACCCGGCAAACGTTGTTTTGCCATATAAATAATTTCGTAGAAGAGCAAAAATTGAGGATTGTATGTATTTTTGTATGTTGTATCATAAAAAAATAGAAATTAAAAATTTAGGGGTGGACTACCCCTAACATTTAGGGGGATGAAAAATAGATACTGGCCGATTCTCATAGATACCGGATAAGCACAAAAATTTCATCAAAATCGGTCAAGCCGTTTCGGAGGAGTATGGCAACGAAAACTGTGACACGAGAATTTTATATATTAGAAGATATAGGTAAATAGGAGTGTCAGACTCTTACTGACTAAAAACCACCCCATTGCTACTCCTGCTTTTCAAACCGGAACCCCGGCAACCCATTAAATCCTTCGTGGCTATTAGTAGGCCTACGGGACATCTCTGAACATGAATGTGACAAAACTCGAAACTCAACGAATTTTCATACGATTTCTTCCAATGGACAAAATTATTTTAAGACTAGTTCATGTTTCATATGGCAAATAAAGAAGAGCTGAAAATCAAGCTTACAGGATTGCTTTCATAAAATCTATATCTGGTGGAAGAAATGGGCTGAACACTAACAGACCTGAGTACCAAGCACGAATAACTATCGCATTCGTAACATTAGTATCCAGCCCGTTCCCGCCTAACGCACTCGATACTATTACGTTACGAATGCGATAGTTAATAATGCTTGGCACTCTGTACCAACTAAGTTATTCAGTGTTAGAAAGAAACATTCTCCTTGATAGTTTCAATTCAAGGTTGATAAAGTTGAAACGTGTGAAAACCTTCACTAATTACTAAAACTAGATCGACACGTGCAAGATTCGCCCTAGAAATCTGGAACATCTCTATAGATACTGATTATCATTACTTCCAATCTATTATACCAATACGAGGGTTCACATTTTATCGTTACCTACTCCTATACTAAAATAGTTTAGTGTGGTGATATATTGTAGTTTTTTACTTGATTTTAGTATCTTGATTTATTTTTCAGACATTATTGTAGTCCGCAATAGCGCCTACATGCAATTGCGGACTAAA